AAAGCAAAAGACAGAGACACAGTGGAGAGAAAAGAAGAAAAGCAAAAGATCTTCGTATTATTATGATTCATTCTGTCTACCAGATGAAGAGACAGAGAGATTGCAGTAGAAAAACACAAGCAAAAGCAAGGAATAAACACTCGCACTGCAAAAGCAAGGAATAAACACCCCATCAAAGTGATGTGATTTACTTTCCTTATTTTTTGTATGATGTGATTTATTTTTCTTATCTTTCGGAAACATCTGTATAAACCCCATCAGAGGGTAAAAAAAAAAAAAAAACAGCAAAGCCTAAAATAAATGGGCTGAAATGTTGTGTAGAGGGCGAAGGCCCATAAGCCCAAAATAGCTCAAACCAGGCGATCAAAAATACGCCCAGTACTCCACAATTATTCGACAACTTGCCACTATTACCACCAATTAGGTGATCAAAAGTACGCCCAGTACTCCACAATTATTCGGCAACCTGCTGCTATTACCACCAACCAGGTGATGAAATGTACAACCCGTACACTAAAATTATTCGGCAACCTGCCGCTATTACCACCAACCAGGTGATGAAATGTACAACCCGTACTTTAATATCATTTGGCAACTAGCCATTCATGCCACCAACCAGGTGATGAAATGTACAACCCATACTCTCCTTCATGCCACTAACCAAGTGATCAAAAGTACGTCCAGTATTTCGAAATTATACATGAGCACTACTCATGTCAATCATACATAAACATTCATGAGCATTACTCATGACAATCATACGTAAACATTCATGAGCATCATTCATGTCAATATTCATGAGCATCACTCATGTTAACATCCATGAGCATCACTCATGACAACATCCATGAGCATCACTCATGTCAATTAACATAAACATTCATGAGCATCACTCATGTCAATCTAGCTTCAAAAGCTTCATTTACAAAAGCTCTAGCTTCAAAAGCTTCATTTACAAAGCTACAGCCTTCAAAAGCTTCATTTACAGAGTTACAGCTTCAAAAGCTTCATTTACAAAAGCTCTAGCTTCAAAAGCTTCATTTACAGAGCTCTAGCTGCAAAGCTTCACTTGCAAAGCTTCACCTACAAAGCTTCAGTGTAGGGTATACAAATACAGACTCCGAACAACTGCCACTTCGACTCATACATGGATTCAATTTGAAGTTTCCAGCCAACAAATATTTACCGAAGACTTGGAGGACTACATTATGTACCATATATTGGGCCTCAACTGGGCCTCATGAAAAATATTTGGGGGACTTAGCCCATTATTTATGTATTGATGAGCGAGCCCTTATTCTATAAAATGGACTCCCTCACTTTCATTAGAGAGCACCCATTATTCATGTAATGAGGAGCGAGCCCTTATTTTATAAAAGGGACTCCCTCACCTTCATTAGAGAGCAATACCGCCAGCTGAGCAACCGTCTCGCCGCGAGCATCACTCCTAACACATCACTTATATATTGAGGAGCGAGCCCTTATTCTATAAAAGAGACTCCCTCACCATCATTAGAGAACATCAACCCTAGCCCATTATTCATGTATTAAGGAGCGAACCCTTATTCTATAAAAGGGACTCACTCACCTTCAACGCCACAAACCGAGCCAACCAAGGCAACATAAGCCACGAGCCGAGCAGTCTCGCAGCATGTGCTACTTCTAGTTGAGCATCATTTCAGATTGAGCACCGCCTCATATCGAACATCAGTTCAAGACAACATCTAGTTACTTCAGCCCACACATGGACTGAATTTCAAGTCTCCAGCCAAAAGACTCTCTTGACTGAAGACTTTGGGGACTACTGTTTATACCATATTTAGGGCCTCGTATTTAGATCTCGTACAAATACTCGGGGACTTAAATGTAATTATGTGATAAAGGAAGGGGCAAATATGTAATAAGTGAGGAGTCTTTATTCTATAAAATGACCCCCTACCCTCACAATTAGGGGATGCCAATTCCTAGGCCATCAGAGACCTAACTCTCTCCCTCAGAGGCTCTGAATCTCTTTCCCTCACTCCCCTCACATCTCAGATAAATACATAATCAGTGTGGACGTAGCCCAAACCTTGGGGTGAACCACGATACATCTTGTGTTATTTACATTTCATGCAGATTCACGGTCGGATTTACGTTGTTCCAAGACCCCTCCGGTTTTGTGCATCAACAATGCTTATTATTATTCAACTTAAGAGACAAAGAACTTGGCTAGGATTCTTGGAGATTTTATACTTTAAGGTGTTTTCATTCATTTTCTTCTTAATACTATTTTCTATGATTTCAGTTATGAATATGCATAACTAATTCCTCTTGCTAGGGTGAAGCCTTGAGCCTTAGCATAAATATGTAATTTTTATTTAATTGCTTATGATTGATTGCATGCACAGTTTGAATTATTTAAACTATCTAATTGCCTTGATGACTGGCCACCATTAGGATGTTTAGACAAGTGATTGGATGCAATTCAGTCGGAATATCATCGGAGGATTAAGTATTGCTTCTTGTGATTGATAATTATAATTTCATCTAAGGCGAATATCACGTTCTTAGGGGTTGCATGGTTCTTCAAAAGGTTTTCATAAAACTTAATGAGTCTTGCATGTTCATATTTGATCTGAATATCACAGACGGATTGCATGTTAGATATACGTTCTTGCTTGAATATCACGAGGATAATATATATTAGGAAAACCTAACTTTCGAAGTGGCATGTGTAAATCATAAGTAATTGGTAAAAATACATAGAATTGCTAGGTAATGGTGGAACCCTAGTGCCCTTATAAATTGGTATTTAAAACTCTTTTCTTTGCTTATTTTAGTTTTTGTTTAAAATTCGTTTTTAATATTATCCACTCTCAAACTCTCTTTTCTCAAGTTTTAATTCTAAGTATTTAATTAGGAATTGTTTCTACATAAATTATCCAAATAGTCCTTAAGGAAAACGACTTTGCATGAGCATCTATACTACAACATCCTTGTATTCTTGCAAGTATTTCATGTAATTTTGACCCTATTTGCATAGACGTTAAAAATCTTATCAGAGCCCCTCTGCCAGTGAAGGCGCTTGGGCATAACAGTGCAGAAGATATCCAGGGCGTTAAGGTGGTGTGTGACTGAGACCCACACATTATTTTTCTTCTCCCTCCTAGTCATAACAGAAGTATCACAACCAGGCCTCCCTGATTATATTGGCACATATCGCTTGGCCGCCTGCTTCGACGTGACTACCACGCCAACCAAGACTCCTCCAATAGCTCCAGCCACCGCAGCCGACCTCACGCCCTTTGCAGCTTGGTAAATCGCACCGGTTCCCAGTCCAGCCGCAACGCTATTCCAAACATCGTCAGTGTCTCTGACAGCCTGAATACCACTCTCCATACCCGCATAGATCAACCCAATCACGCCAGTCGGTTCCCCTAAGCTCGACCCGTGTGGCCAGAGGAGTTGAGATCCCTATTGATCATGAGCTTGGTGGTGTCTCCAGACTCGAACGATCGAACGCCGGAAAAGAGATCGGCGGCGCCGCCTCCAACTGCTCCTATGAGGTAGGAGCATCTAGTGTAGAATGTGAGATTCTCACCCCAGGAGCGATGCTGACGTTTAGCCTCTTCGACGAAGAGGAACTCCGGGGAGGTAGGTAGCTAGTAGAGGTTTCGCATGGGAACCTGGAGATCCTGGTAGGGGTTGTAGAAGCGGGCCTTAGACGAGTCGGAGTTGGGGTCGTGATTGGAAGGGGACATTTGATGCACCATCGCAGAGAGAGATGAGAGAGATAGAGAGATTGGGAAGAGGATGAGGATTTAGGCTTCGGGGGCGGTTTGGTAGTGGCTTCACCAGGAGAGAGAAAAAGAGAGAGAGTATTTGGTTTTCCTGGGGTTTTTTGCAGATTCACGGCGGAGGTGAAAAAATGAAAGAGAACCGACACAACTTTTCGTATCGATTCCCACAGACGGCGCCAAATGTTGATGCATAAAACCAGAGGTCTTGGAACAATGTAAATTCAACCGTGAATCTGCAAGAAATGTAAAGAACACAAGATGTATCATGGTTCACCTCAATGTTTGGGTTACGTCCACATTGATATTGTATTTCTCTGAGAGGATTGTAAGGGAGAGAGCCTTTGTAATGTGAGGGTGAGGCCTCTCTCCCATGGCCTAAGAATTGGCCTCCCTTAATGAGGAGAGTGAGGAGTCCTTTTATAGAATAAGGGCTCCTCACTTATTACATATTTGCCCCTTCATTTATTACATAATTACATTTGAGTCCTCCGAGTATTTATACAAGGTCTAAATACAAAGGCCCTAAGTATGGTACAAACAACTTAAATTTGCCTAGGCGCTAGGCCTCAACCTACCACCCGACTAGCACCTAACGTCTTTTAGAACCTTGGTATTACTTAAGTGATATGGTACACTTGCAAGTTGAAAACGCTTATTTGTCCACTAATATTTTGTTGTTACAAATGAGTGTCAAAGCACTCATTTGAAAATATTTCTTTTAGAAAACACTTATGCTTTTAAATTTTTCTATTAAAACACGTCAAATGTTTTTAATAGAAATCCATATATTGTTTAAAAAAGTGCTCAGTGCTAAGTGTTTTCTAATTCGTAGGTGCTTTTAACGTTTGTTGTTTAACGTTTTCTTTTGGCCAAACCAAAGAGAATGAAATGTTGAGTCTCAACGTTGTCAAACGTTAGGAGAAATGTTTTTGAAATGATAAAATCTAGAATATCATGTTGCATTCAACGATATTAAACTGAATGAGTGAGATTTAAACAATAAACAAATTTAATACTTTCATCATCTTCGTGTACCCCTTAATAATTTAATATTTAATTAAACTTGATGTCATAAGATAACGTGACCACACCCAATAATAGAACATAAAATATTAAAATTAACGTCACGTGAAAGTGTAACAGTAAAAAAATTGTCCCAAACAGTTTATAGTAGACGTCCGTGTCATGCATATACACAGCAAAATATAGAAATAGAATTCCCCAAAATATTTTTGTCCCAATCATTTGCTTTTTCTCTCTCTCTCTTCTCTCTCTCGCGCGTTTCGTCTTCACAGCGATCTCGGAAATTAGGGTTTCGGAGACTCCGGGGTTATCATTTGCTTATCTGGAATTTCAAGATCCCGTCACACTCGGTGAGCTTCCATTGACCTTCGTTGATTCTTGCTGTTGATATTATCTTTATCTTTGATTCTTAATCGCAATTCGATTTCAAATTTGCGGTGATTCGTGTTTCGCAATTGATTTTTCGTGATGTGATTCGAGTTGATTTTGGTTAAGTTATTGCAATTTTGTTGATCTCTTTGTGTGTGTATCTGTATGAACAAGGAGATGTTCTTGCTTGACTACGAGGAGGAAGGTTTATATTATTGAGGAAAGTGAGATTTTATGCTTAATTGCTTGAGTTTTGATGAAAAAAACAGTAATCGGATGTAAATTTTGATTAAAGTGAATCTTGATCTGCAGGCTGTTTGCTTGAATCGTATATTCTTTTGTTTAAGAAAATTGGATATTTGGATGTGAATTGGGTATTGGATAGTGATCTGATATTGTCTAGAGTCAGTCTTCGTGTGTATGTTTGGACATAGAGTTGAGTTGTAGATAAGTTGAGGTACTAACTTTGACTAGCTCGGTTTGTAAAGGATTATGGATTTGGTAATTTGTTTTCTTTAGTTGTTTCGAGTAGTAACTGTTGTGATTAAAACACGCAACTGTTGTTTGCAAGATTTGTCCTCAAGAGATTCCTCTCGTCATGTAATAAAGATCAAAATATGATATGGGATTGATCCCAGCCTCCTAATGCTAAATTGGTAACTTCAAAAAGATGGTTTCAGATTTTTAGAAACATGCTCACCTCTATCTGAAAGTTCTTGGTGCAACAGTTAATTTGTGCTTTGAGTAACTTCACAATAATGAACCACGATATTTGTGGAACCCCCGTCTTTTTTTTATTTTTAATATGGCTTGTTTAGACATGGAAGCTTACCATTTTTGTTTCTTTAATGATTATCTTCTTAATGTTGTCTGATAATATCGGGTTTTCTGTTTCCTTCAAAATGGCAGATTTTTATGATTTAAGACCATGAAGCCAGGATTTTCTTCTTTGAATCCCTACGCAGCAGCATACATTCCACTCTCGAAGAGGGAGACAGATGATAGAACTTATGTGACAACAAAAGATTCTAGCCGCAGCAACGAGTCAGTCTGGTTTGGGAACCCTCAGAATTTTACCCATAATCAACACCATAGCAAAGCTTATCTTGAATCTGATGCCCCTGGTACTGCAACACTACAGAGTCCAAAGTCATATGCTGTAAAGAGCTACCCTGCTCATGGCTATTATGGTTCATCTTCGCAGAATGTGATTAAAGTGTCAGAAAATGAAGATTTTGATATGGATATGGAATATCTTGGGATGTCATTTCCCGGTATATCTGATCAGTCCCTTAGTGATGTGTATTTGGCAAATAGGGGCGACCTGGATGCCACCATTGACATGCTGAACCAACTTGAGGTCACTTTCATATTTTTTTTCTTTAATGTTGATGTTAAATATTATTCATGTTGCAAATATCATACCTTGTCCTCTACCATCTATCCATCTACTGTTATGTTGCTATGTATTACATATAAATACTCAAATACCACTGCTTGCAATTCTGAAAGCAGTTGAATATATAGAATCTCTGTTTACCTAGATTAGTTCAGGTTGTGTTGTTTTATCATTTATAACAGGTCAAAACTGGGATTTCTTTATCCAATTTGAAGCAGTAACTGTGTATGTGCTGTGAGTTTGTGGCACACTTCATGTCACCTTTCATTAAGTAAAAAACAGTACTTTCCTTTGACAAATTCTCTATTGCAAATTTCCAAGTTCATTTGACTCTGCATGCTTTGTCATGGTTGTATTGGCATATAATGACAGTAATATGTTTTCTATGTATACTCTATTTCTTTGACATGGTAAAAGTCCCTTTTCTACTGTAAGTGTTTTGGTTCTTCATGACAATTCTTATTTGTGTGCGAAGCGTATTCATGACAAAGAATCATCTTGTTCCATTGATACGGTGGGCTGGTGGTATATTGAAATATACGTATTTTAAGCAAATAAAAGAATCACTATTGATAGGATAGAATGCATCTAGCTTTTGCTTGGTTGCAAGTCCGGCAAAGTTTTATTACAAACTTGATAAAGTTAGAACATCCGGGAATCTCCATCTCTGGTTGTTTGTTACCTTTAACGTTAACATCAAACGTATTGGAATTCGATTTTTATGTTTATGAGTATCAGCACTGAAATAAACTCTGCAATCCAACTTACGTGTTTTATTATTTACTGAAAGTCTCTGTTTCTTACGGCAGTTTGAATCTTCTGAAAGTCTTCCAGACACTTTGGACATTGGAGATGTTTCTGAATCTGGGTTGGTGGGCAATAGTGCATGGAAGCTGAAGAATGTAGCAGGTGAAGCCAGCAGTTCGCCCAAATCGTAGGTCATAAGCCCGTCTCCTGTTTGATTTTGTGGAAAACAAAGAAATGTCAGTTGTTTTACACTTGACATGTTTGGTTATATGGGTGAAAGAAGTATATAAATAGAGGATATATCTCTTGGTGGAGCATCGACATGTTTGGTTATATGGGTAAAAGAAGTATATACATAGAGGATATATCTCTTGGGGGAGCATCAAATGCACACATAGTTTGATGATATGGTTGTATAGCTGTTAGATGCTTGTGTTTTTTTTGACATCTTCAGGTTTTATAAGCCGAAAAAGCTCACTGTGCAATTCTCTTGCTACTCCGGGTTTTTTTGAAATGAAAGTGATGTGCTTCTTCATGACATTTTGTTATGATATCAATGTGCTTATAGTGCCTTAAAGCTTCGATATAGCGAAAATGTTTGGCCCCTCGTGGCAGTCGTGAGGTGTGCACATCACAATTCGACACTCTGAAAGGACTTCAATGGCACGTTCATTGCCACTTGGCGTCTAGTGCCATGGAAGTTGCTCTCCCTCGCCATTACATCATGTTTACATCCACATAATCTTGGAACTTCAAAAACATTTAACATTTTCTATGATGCTACATAATATTTAACGCTACAAGGGTGTTTTAGTCGTTAGATTTGATTTCCGTAGCAGTTTAACTCTATTATCAATCTCAGCCATTCATTTCATTTACCGTACCATTTAAAGCAGGAATATTGAAGAAATTTTTTATTTTCTAAGCAAATGAGCAAACATAAAGATTCAGAACCATGTGTTCATAATTATTTAAAGCAAAGCAAATTACAGAACAAAGCAATTGACGGTGCATAACCCTATTTGGATTCTATCTCCGTAAAACATCTCACGTTTATGTGGGCTGCGGTATCTTGGGATCCCAAATAATTTTGCCGACGGAGTAAAACTCTGTACTGCTCCTCGCCACCGCAATTTGTCTGACGTCGTACTATTCCCTAACCCAAGCAAAAATTACATATTACACCTCCAAAAAATACAACTAGATATAAATAAAATGCGAGCATGATTTATTTATTTATTTATTTGAACAAACGATATTATTTATACTAAGGAGGAGATTGTGGAATTAGTCTCACAATGGACTAGTAATAATGTAATTCAAATCCACATTTGTCGATAATCGAATCTAAAATCTCACTTACAAGTAAAAAGAAATACCATCAAACCGTTATATCTCAAATTGCATCTAGTTAGACTTTGTGCCGTTAAAGTTGTTGAGTTCTTACAAACATTTCCGCTTTGTTGAGGTCTTTCAAACATGTCCGTGATCCTTGGTAATAAAAAAGAGGATAAGATAAATATATCTACCAAACGCGGTCTTAACAAACCTTTATTAAACAGAACAAAATTGGTGTCAAGAAGGAACTGCGACGTCGCCTGCATGTATACAACATTTTAACATTCTCTTTCTTGCAAGAAAAATTCTCAACAGATCAGCATCCACCTAATTGGAAAACCCCATTTCCCCATTTGCTTCTTTCTAGAGAGAGAAAGAGGATCTCTAAGTGATTGAATTTGGAAAATTATAGAACATGGGGGTGGATTATTATAACGTGTTGAAGGTAAACAGAAATGCTGGAGAGGATGATCTGAAGAAGGGATATAGGAGGCTGGCAATGAAATGGCACCCTGATAAGAACCCTAATAACAAGAAAGAAGCAGAAGCCAAATTCAAGCAGATCTCCGAGGCTTACGAGGTATCTTCCTTTTCTTTCTGCTTTTCTTATTGCACAATCATTCTTCCATTTTATCCTCATAATTTGTAATTTACAATGTGTGTTTGTATTTATACAGTCTTTCTTTCTGCATGACGTCCCATGGTCACGTTTATTGTTGTTTTTTCGGGTGTAGCATCTGTCTTGTATAATTTAGACATTGGTTTCTAGTCTCAAATTAGAATTTAGGCATAGGTTTCTTGTCTCAAATTCGGAATTAGGTTTCTAGTCTCGAATTTGTTAAATGAGGCTCAAATGAAATGGAATCGCTATTGTTATAGATGGTTTGTATGTTCTTTCATGTCCGAAAGAGCTGAGTTTCATCTGTTAGTGAAAATAAAAGATTGGAGAAAATGTATTTGTGAATTCAGGTCTTGAGTGATTCTCAAAAGAGAGCGATTTACGATCAGTATGGCGAAGAAGGATTGAAAGACATGCCACCTCCAGGAAGTGGTGGTTCCCCGTTTGGAAATGGCGGCGGAGCTGGATCAAAAGGGTTTAATCCTAGGAATGCAGAGGATATCTTTGCCGAATTCTTCGGAAGTAGTCCTTTTGGATTTGGATCACCAGGAGCTGGGAAGTCTATGAGATTCTCGTCTGATGGAAGCGGAGTGTTTGGGGGATTTGGAGGTAACGAAAATACTTTTCGATCATATAGTGAGGGTGTTACTCGAAAGAAACCGCCGGCAGTGGAGAGCAAATTGCCTTGCAGCCTTGAAGAACTGTATGCTGGATCAACACGGAAAATGAAGATATCAAGAAATGTGGTTGATGCAAATGGGTAATTCGTTTTAAAACTATCCCTATTTTCCCATTGTCTATACATTGATTGTTACTTGAATAGCAAGAAATATTAACCATAGCTTTCATATGATAATCTAGACCTTTTCGTTTGTATGCCTCGTGCTTTGACGAAAATCTCACTTGCAAATGTGTAGCTTCACCCCTTGTGTTTTCATTTCGTGTCCGAAGTTATCCCTTTCTGTCAAGTTGTTTAGGAAAATCGTTAACGTGGGTGATGTGGCATATAAACGAAAAAGCCTAGCATCTACAATGATGTTTCTTTCTTGATTTCAAGCCAGATGACGTTCATAAACGATAACCTAGCTGACAAATTTTGTTCTGGAAAAACGAAAATCGCAGACGCCAAGTGCTGGAGCAAGAAATATTGACAATCGAAGTGAAGCCAGGATGGAAGAAGGGAACCAAGATTACGTTTCCTGATAAGGGTAATGAACAGCTTGGCCAGCTGCCGGCAGACCTTGTCTTCGTGATTGATGAGAAGCCTCATGACACTTACAAGAGAGATGGCAATGACCTAATTGTGAACCAAAAGGTGTCGTTAGCGGAGGCGTTGGGTGGAACCACACTACACCTTACCACGCTAGATGGTCGTGATCTATCAATCCCGGTGACTGACATTGTGAGTCCCGGGTACGAGCTACTTGTTGCCAGGGAGGGTATGCCGATAGCAAAAGGGCCCGCTAACAGGGGTGACTTGAAGATCAAGTTTGAGGTGAAGTTCCCTACAAGATTGACCCCGGAGCAAAGATCTTCACTTAAACGAACTTTGACAGGCTGAAGAGTCCTCACATTTTGCCATTGTAAATTAGCCAACAGTTTGAAAGCATCCATTGGAGCTACTGGACCGAGTAAAAGACGGAGAATTCCTCGAAAAAAAGGTGGAGAAGCCCTTGAAAAGAAGGCGAAAATCGGGCAGAAGCTCTTTGTTCTGCTAACAGTTTGAAAACTTATTGGATATATTGTACTGAGTGATTCCACTCCATTGTTTCTTCTTTTTCTTTCTCTTTTGTTATATATTTTCTTCGTATATTTTGTTGTAATCAATGAGTGTTAGATTGAATTTAAACTGTATGTATTGACAGTTCTACATGTTTTGTTGTGGAATATAGCTTGTTATATATATAAATTAACCACCAATTACTCGTACTGAATAAACCATTCAAAATTCAATGGAAGAAACTCAACGCTGACATTGAAGCAACATAAAATATTCCCAAAAGAAATATTTTTCAAAATAAATATACAAAAGAACAAAAATTGGATATTTACAATAAATGGACTAATTTCATGAAAAAACATAGATTTGAGGTATTTTTCTTCGATTTCGTTGAAAAATATTACGAGTTTGAAAAGAAGATAGAAGTCATCACTAAAGAAAATTGGGTTAAAGAAGACAAAACCATAGTCTCTTCTAGTCACCCTCCACAAGAAACAATTTTAATTGCAACTGCAAACACACAAGTACCAGCCACTCCTTCAAACTTCCAAAAGAAGATGCAAGAGTCAAGCTAGTCATCGAACAAAACAATTTTACAAACCAAAGTCTACACACCATAGGAAAACAATTGTACAAAAATAGAAACCAAAATAGATAGACTTTCTCAACCAAAACCAACAATTAGGGAAAAACCCTTAGTCAACTTTCCAGAATCTTCCTCTAGCACAATAGCTTTAAAAAACAATTTCCACAAGTAAAAAAATAGATCAAATGTTACAAAACAAGAAAAAACAGTCAATGTTTTACAACATCAAGATGAATCTCAACCAGAAACAACTTCTGCAATATGGGATTCAGAAGACGAGAGTGAAACAAATTCCATCAAAAAAGTAAAAGAAGCTTTTCAAAATCTTGAACTAAAACGAATCACGAACAAACGAGTCAATCCAACAACTCTTACCAAAAATTGGTATCCAAGGCCAACACCTCTAGATATTCAATTTGAAGAAAGAAACATCCAAAATCAACTCTCAGTCTCAGCTGATAAACTCTATAAATGGAACATAGATGAATTATCAGAACAAGAACTTTTGAATAAATTACAACACATCTCCATGGTTGCTAATAGTTATATTACCAATCATAACCTCAGTCAAACACAAGTTGTCGACCTTTTGGTCACTGGATTGATAGAAACGCTCCATTCCTGGTGGGAAAAATATCTCACTAAACAATCTAGAAATGAAATTTAAAATGCAGTCAAAAGAGATAAAGATGGAACACTCATCTTTGATGAGCATATAGGACAAGAAGTCCCAGATGCAGTCAACACATTACTTTTCACCCTTATAGAACATTTCATAGGGACACCCAGTAATGTTACCTCCAGAATTCATGACCAACTTAGTAACTTAAGATGTCCAACCCTAAGCGATTTTAGATGGTACAAAGATGTTTTCTTAAACCCTATATATATATATATATATATTTTCATGCGCAATTTAAGAATATTTTTGCTTTTTTTTAAACATTTTTGTTTTGTTGTAGAATATAGCTTGTTATATATTTCATGCGGAATTTAAGAATATTTAAGAATATAGCTTGTTAGAAATCAAACACAATTTAAGAATATTTCATGTGGAGTTATTAATAAGTAAATACTTTTTCCTTCGTGTTAGTGTTCTTTTTGAGCCTCTTTGTTGGTGATTGTCGCTCTTCTCGCTATTTGGAGTTTTTACTTATTAATAATTTACAACATCAACAACCATCATCAAGCCTTATCCCACTGAGAGAAGTCAATATACATCCAAGAACGCCACTAAATTTTACTTGATAGTAATTTGAAATCAAATCATTGAAAACTATAAACATATTCAGCATTTCAATATTCCCAAATCCACTTGACTATCTAGGCAAGTCAAATAAGACCGCATACAAAATGTCATAAAAGTACAGTGCAAGTCTCATTTCTTGTATCCCATATTTGCTTCTGATTAATACTCGTCCTCCTCATCATCGCCATCGTCATCTTCCTCCTTGTCATTGTCCTCGTCATCGTCATCCTCGTCGTCCTACAATGATCAATAAGAAATGCAAGATCTCCAAATGTGATTACCATTTACAAACAAGCTACAAAAGGTAACACATAGACATGTTGACAATTATTCACTGAAACACAAACCAGAGACAAGGCCAATATTGACCGCATGAAATAGATGCCAAATGGAGTAAATATAAAGATAAAATCAATAGAGGCCACACCATACCCTTTACCTTTTCAATATTTTCCATCGTTACTCCTTTATCTTTTGAGGCTTGAGCAGCTTTCACCTCAGCATGTCTCATACACTCCTTCAGTTTGGACCTATAATATCGCAACCAAAGTCGAGGAATTACAACGCTTCATAGAAAAGGAAGGCACGATCCATCTAATGAAAGAACAGAAAAAGCAACAGCTACCTGAAATCTTTGTTCAGACTATTTTGAACTGTTGCTACAGCTAATCCTCCACCAAATCTGGCAGTAAAATCCTTCTTGATTTGATCGAGGAAGGCAAGAGGAATTTTTCGACCCATAGCCTTAGCTGCAACTGCACAGTATGCTGCAGCACCCAAATGGTGTAGTTAGTTCAGCTATATGCATACGCATAGTAAAGTAAAATGACATGTGCAACTAGACAAGCTTGGCTATCAAGAAAGCAACTAGTAATAACCAATGAGATTCTAATTATATATGTTAATAAACCAAAAGAGGGCCACAAAGGAAAGAGACGAGAGAAACAAAATCAAATTAATACAAGTGTAGACCGATCTTATACGATGGTCATAAAAAACAAGGAACAATACTCTTAAGCCTGTTGACTGCAAGAACCAAATGATTCAACAAGCATACATTGAAACACTTTAAATGAAGTAAAAAGGAAATCAAATACACGAGCACAACCTTATCGACTGAAAAGTAGAAATCGAACACAAATACATGAGACTGAAGTTGCTATCAAGCAGGTAGTTGATCGTGTAGCCACGACCTTATTGACTGAAAAGTAGAAATCAAACACAAATATATGAGAGGAGAGGTATTACTGAAGTTGCTATCAAGCAGGTAGTTGATGGTGCAGCCACCACGGTCGTAGGTGATCTTATTTATCGAACAGGGGAGCTCAGAGAGATAATCCACAGCCATGCCACTGACCGTATGGTCAAATTGCAACCAATCTGCAAGAACCACCGTCCCGTGCGCCACGAAGCTATAGCTCAATGATGGAGCTTTGGATTTTCTTCTGATGCGCCACCCTCGATTCTATTCTCAAGCGACAAGAACAATATTAAACATATGAAATAGATTGGCAGAGTAAAGATGAAATGAAAATCAAAAGAGTTGAGAGAATGCCCTTTACCTTGTCAATATATTCCATCGCAACTTGTTCGTCTTTTGAGACTTTGGCAGCTACATATTCCATATGCTGCTTCAGTTTGGAGCTACAAAGTTAAGGCATTAGAACACCTCATAGAAAAGGAAAGGTGCAATCTATATAACAAGTGAAGGGATAAAGAAAAAGCTACCCTAATTCATTGCTCAGACTATCTGCAATTAGTGCTTTAACAAATTGTGCACGATATTTTCCAAGAAAATCCTTCCTGACTTGATTGAGGAAGGCAAGAGGAATTTCTCGACCAATATCCTCATCTGCAACTACACAGTATGCTGCACCATTGAAATAGTGACGTTAGTTCAGCTATATACAAAGCGCTACAAATCAAATTAAAAAGACATAGTTTATTCCGAAGCCAACATTCAGTAAAACAAATAACAAGGCCTATTTGGTATCTTATTTGAAAATTTTTATCATTACTCAACACGCTTTTTAAGAATATTTCTTGAAAACAATTTTCTTTAAGATTCAAAAACTTGATTGGTTTGCGATTTAAAAATTTTAAATCTTACGACTTAAATTAGACAAAAAGATCTAGAAAAAAGGGTCCCAGGAGAGGGAGAAGATGAGAGAGTAGGAAAGAAAGTAAGAGATGATTGAAGAAAAGAGTAAAAAATGAGGATCAGACAAGATAGAGAGAAAGATGAGTGAGAGAAAGAATCGAGAAAATTTAGAGAGGAGAATTAGAGGAGAGACGAAAAAATAAAAAAAATAAAAAAGGAGAGAGATAGATTTGAAGTGATAGGGGATGAGGGAGAAAAAAGAAAGGAAAACTAATGAAAAAAAAGAAAGAAATTAAGTGCGTTTAAATTTAAAAACTTACTTTTTATGCTTTAGATAATCGACTATATTTTTTAGTTAGTCTTGAGTTCAGTTTTTGAAAATAATCATACCAAACAAGTTAGTTTAAAAAGTTGGATTCAAGTACAATACTAATCAAGTCCTAATATTTTTTAGGAATTGTTATTGGTACTTTAAAATTTCATTCTTCACTCCAAACTTTCTATATTTAGAAAGAAAAATACATTTATAAAGAGTGCAGAATGAGATTTTTGAAGTATTAATAACACTTTCCTATTTTTCTTTTCATTCAAAAAACCAACAAAAACACGAATAACGAATTTCAATCGGCGAAATTTAGACGAGTCTTGCTATCGTCTAAACCAGAACCGTAACAAAGACACGGGAAGAGAAAGAGATAATACTGAAGCCAGAATCAATCAGGTAGTTGAAGGTGTAACCATCACCACGTTCGTAGGTGATCCTTCTCATTGAACGGTCGAGCGTCTCGAGCAAATTCAGAGCCAGGCGAGCCACATCCTCCTGATCCTAATGATTTGAGCACTGTGCAAGTATAACCGTCCTGCACATCACGAAGCTGCAGATCAACGATGGAGCCATCGATTCTATTTGATTCTCCTAAAACCCTAATCATACGAGAGATAAAGAGATAGCAAGCAACAGAGAGAGATAGAATTTTAAAACATGTGTGAGACAAGTGACCATTTTATTGAGAAGAACTCTACTCGACATTGTGGTAGGATGGATGAAGTGGAAGAGTGTATTTATAGGGGAGGATGAGGAAGTGGGCCGGCCCTCTAAGGTCATCTCCAACTGAGGGCTGGCCAGAGTGTTCGTTTTAGCCCTCTGACTCTCCAAGATTCTCCAAGATATTAATATTTTAATGAACAATACATGGCCATATTTGTCTCCGTCTCCAACCGATG